TTTAGTAATTTGAGTCTTCTCTCTTTTTTTTTCTTGGTCAGTCTACGTAAAAGTTTATCAATTTTGTTGATCTTTTCAAAAAATCAACTTTTGGTTCTGTTGTTTTTTCTTTTCTGTTCTTTACTTCACTAAGTTTTTGCTCTAATCTTTATTACCTTGCTTCTTCTTGTTTGGATTTAGTTTCCTTTTTGATGGAAGGTTAGGTCCTTGTCTTGAGGTTATTCCTTTTTTTCTGTTATAGGTCTTTACAACTATAAATTTTCACCTAAGCACTACTTTCGCTGTATCCTTAACTAAATTTTGGTATATTATGCCTTGATTTTTATTCATCCAAAAGTATTTTCTAATTTCCCTTGAGATCTTCATTGACCCAATGGTTATTTAGGAGTATGTTGTTTAATTTCCACCTAATTTGTGAATTTCCCAGGGGTTTTTTTGTTTTGTTTTGTTTTTTCTGTTTCTCATTTCTGATTAATCCATTGTGGTCAGAGAACATACTTTGTATGATTTCAGTCCCTTAGTATTTATTGACGCTTGTCTTATGACCTAGGGCATTGTCTGTCCTGGCGAATATTTCATGTGTATTTGAGAAGAATGTATGTTCAGTTGTTTGGTACAGTGTTCTGTAATGTCTGTTCAGTTTAGTTGGTTCATAATACTGCTTCAGCTAGTTTGTGAGCTTTCTAAAGATGGTGCCATAATAAATGTGGCCGTTACTGGCCTTGCTATTCTTACCAGGGCCTTTGCATTTGTTGTTGTTTCTGCCTGGAACATTCTTCCTGTAGTTAACACAGGATTTTTTCCATCAATTCAGTCTCATTTTCCCACGTATGTTACCTATCAGAAAGGCCTTTCCTGACAAGCTTTCCAACCCAAATAAATTAACTATCTTTGCATCCTTCTTTATTTTTTACTTACAGAATTTACCACTACATAAGAGCACATAATATATTTCTTTGTTTCTTCAGCTCCCTTATTCACTGCTATGTCCCCTCGTAGGTACTCAGAATTGCCAAGGAAGTATGTGGATATAGAAATCTGGAAGTAAGAGAAGTCTTGACTGGAAATAGACATTTGGGAGTCATCACTATAGAGGGAAAATTTGAATTCACAGGTAGAAAAAAAAATCATCTAAGGCAAAAGTGAGGGGATATAAAAGGGCCAGGACCTAACCCTCATCCAACATCTATTAGAGGTTTGGCAGTGAAGAGGCCCAACAAAGAAGACTGAGAAGGAGCAACAGAGAGGTAGAAGCATCACGGTTCTTTTAGTTCAGGGGCTCCCTGTACTGGCCCTAAACTAAACTAGAAGGTACCTTGAAGCCAAGGAAGAAGGCAGTAGCCAACTCCATGGAAGCTACTGTGAAGTTCAGAAAGATGTATGTCTAAAAGATACAGTGACATGAAGATTGCTGATAACTTTGACAAGACCAGAAGCCAAGTCTATTTGTATAGAAGAATGTGTAGGCCATGAAGAAATGGTGATGCCTTCTCAGTTTACAAAACAATAATTATTCAGTTAGACCTTTTTATAAAATCTGCAGGTAAAATCAAGCTTAGCAAGTTTCCTTTTCTTCTTCTTGGCCTTTTCCATGCTTAAAACTCCCAGATAGTGAAAGTGTTTACTGATTCCTTAAAGAAGGAAAATCACTAATAGGTAGATATTGAGTGCCATCAAGGCTACCTGGTCCTTGGTTCTCCCCACACTGCTTCTGAGAACTGGGAAATTTTGACTAGTGTGACAAAACTAAAGTATCATCATGTTTTTGTGACCAAGCATGTATGCTCTTTGCAGTAAATTGCCATTTGTTTTAATATAAATGTGTTGGAAAGACTCTGTCAGAAAAGTAGTGACTATTTCTGTTTGTTAGTTTTCTGCTGTCATTTTTTTCTGGATTCTTGCTTTTGATTATATGAAACCCCAATAGATGTTTATCACCTTCGTTATCACCATAATACCTACCAGAAACCTAAAGCATCAATGCAAGAGAATAGAGATTCAAGAAATAAACCCATGCATATATGGCCAGTTGATAATTAGACCAAGATACAAAAGCAATTAAATGGAGAAAACACTGTCTTTTCAATAAATTGTGCTGGAGCAATTGAAAATCTATATGAAAAACAAAAACCTTAATCCATACCTCATGCCATATATAGAGATTAGCATAAAACAATATAGACCTAAATGTAAAATCTCAAACTATAAAACATCTGAAGAGGGGCACCTGGGTAGCTCAGTCAGTTAAGCGTCCAACTTCGGCTCAGATCATGATCTCACAGTTTGTGGGTTCGAGCCCCATGTCGGGCTTTGTGTTGACAGCCTGGAGCCTGCTTCGGATTCTGTGTCTCCCTCTCTCTCTGCCTCTTCCCTGTGCTCTCTCTCTCTCAGAAATAAATAAACTTTTTTTTTTAATTTTTTTTTTAATGTTTTATTTATTTCTAGGAGAGAGAGAGAGTGAGCAGGGGAGGGTCAGAGAGAGAGGGAGTCACAGACTGAAACAGGCTCCAGGCTCTGAGCTGGCAGTCAGCACAGAGCCTGACGTGGGGCCCGAACCCACGAACCGTGAGATCATGACCTAAGCGAAAGTCGGATGCTTAACCGACTAAGCCACCCAGGCGCCCCTAAATAAACATTTTTTTAAAAATCTGAAGAAAAAAACAGAAAATTTCTGTGACCTTAGATTAGGTAAAGATTTCTTAGATATAATATTAAAAAATGGATACATTTCCCTTAGTAGCTCATTCATTCCAAACTTTTATTTACTTTTTTTTAATGTTTATTTTTAAAATTTAAAAAAAATTTATTTCTGAGAGAGAGACTGCATGAGCATGGGAGGGTCAGAGAGAGAGGGAGACACAGAATCCAAAACAGCCTCCAGGCTCTGAGCTAGCTGTCAGCACAGAGCCTGTCGCGGGGCTCGAACCCATGAACGATGAGATCATGACCTGAGCCGAAATCAGATGCTCAACCGACTGAGCCACCCAGGCACCCCAATGTTTATTTACTTTTGAGAAGCAGTGAGAGACAGAGCACAAGAAAGGGAGGGGAAGAGGGAGAGGGAAACACAGAATCCGAAGCAGGCTCCAGGCTCTGAGCTGTCAGCACAGAGCCCGACGTGGGGCTCGAACCACAGACCGCAAGGTCATGACCTGAGTTGAAGCCAGACCTTCAACCGACTGAGCCACCCAGGCACCCCCATTCCAAACTTAAAAATGAGCCCTAGCTTAATAATTTGGTGTATTCTAGGGAGGTTCTTATTGTTAAAAGAAACAGATTGCACCAAGGCCATCCCATTTAAAATTCTGATCTGGCTTTCTCCTGGCTTTTTCTGAGGGCAAAATTGAAGTTATTTGGGTCAAGAAGTCTGGGTAGCCTTTTCCTCATTCCTTTACCACATACCTTCTGCCACTATAACTTGGGTTCATCCATACATTCATCATTGGCCTCATGGCCTTGACTGTTATCTCTTGGCTTCTTCCTTTTAAGCTTTGGCTTCTATTGCCGCCCAATTATTTTGCCATTTTCTAAGTTAGACTCCCAAGAGAGAGAACCTAATTGGCCCAGATTATTTTTACATATTCTAGGCACTAAATTGGTGTATTGAACCAGCAATATGGGCCCGTCAGTGGTCTGGGCAAGGTTATAGGGACGTAGGGAGTTGACTGACAGGAAACCAAGGGAAAAAGACTGTAAAATATTGGTATGTAAAATGTGAACTACATCATCAGCAGGTACCATGAACAATGGAATTTTCCTTAGATGGGACCATGGATGTGACAAACACTGTAATAGATATAGTTATAAAATAAAATTTTGATGTTCTTATTTTATTCTCCCAGAAACCATTGACCATCAACTTGTCTTCTAGTTACAGCTCTCGTTATAGCTCTAAATCAACCCATAGCAGTTAGTGAGGTGAGTGTATAAAGTAGGAACTTTTGGCTTTTATCTAGGCCAGAGATAGAAGGTATCTGGGAACAGAGGATAAGAATCTTGGATTAGCTGAGGGGTACCTGGCTGGCTCAGTAAGTAAAACATGGGACTCTTTCTTGATCTCTAGGTTGTGATTTGGAGCCCCATGTTGGGCACAGAGTTTACTTAAAAAAAAATTTTTTTTTTAAAGAGTCTTAGATTAGTTGAAAGTTGTTATCAGAGGTCATTTAATATATCCCTCTGCCTGTGGTTATAACACCCACATCATGGCTTTCAAGGAGACAGTAGTTCTTCCTGTAGCACTTTAGTCTGGGCCAGTAACTCCAAGGTTAGTTCTTCATGGTGTTTAGTCCCTTTTTTTTCCCGATGGGCTTCATAATATCAATCCTATAATGGTCATCCTGGTATTAGATTCTAGTGTTCCCTTTTCCCTTGCAGGATGCTTATTTTGCTATTTTTCTTTCCCACTAACAACTCCCTTTGTAAGAAGGCTGAGTGATATTTTTTTCTCTGTCCCTCTTAAGAAACTACTACCAAAAAACAATGACACATACTCTTGCTGCTTAGTATTTTTTCACCCAGGCTGACCTTTCTGGTTTGTCATCCTCAGTTTTATTAGGGTCCTTAAATCTTGATTGTCAGAGTCTTAGGATCCTATAGAGAAATTGTGGGATTAGGTTCATTTGTTTTTTCCCTTGTCTAAAGGAACTGAGTTTGCTTTTGCTTTCTCTTACAAGAATTGGTGAATATAAGATAGTCACATGGTGAATTTGGTTTGGCTTTGAGTTAATATATCTGGGGGAGATGAAACATCATGCAGTCTGAGGAGAAAGATGTTAATGAGGGGAAGAGTGGTTGCTGACCTAAGGTTTTGCCTGTCAAACTTGAGGGTTGCTAGAAATCACTTGGGCAGCTTGCTAAAGTGCAGATTTTAATTCAGTCTGGGGTCAGGCTCAATATCTAGGATTCTTTATTTCTAACAAGCTCCCTGTAGATATTCACACTGCTGGCCTGCAGACACACTTAGAGGAGTAAGAACATGTGGGGTTGATATTCCCATACAGGCATCTCTGAATAGAAGCTCCTTGTATCGCTCCCCTTCATTGCCAGAGACTCTGAACAGGCCAAGACTGAAGCAAGTGGTAAAATTCAAGAACAATCCCGTACAGGATAAAGTAAAACAGTATTGTTCTCGCCACAAAGAATTCAGGAAGGTAAGAACTTTTTAAGATGAGAATCTGTTTAATCCTCTTGTTGTCTTTTCTGCTGTTTTGGTATGAGGATTGCTTTAGTATATCTTCTGTGTCTTCTTTCTCTCATTCTTTTGCTTTTTATCTCTTTTGTCTTATCTTTTTACATCTGCATCCATGTATAAACTATTTAACAGTAAATATCTTTTATATTATACTTTTTGAAATGACGTTGGCCTACTGTCTTCCCAACTTTCTTCATTAAGATCTGAGAGGATACAGGGAATCTTGAATGGTAAGGATATTTACTGCTGTTTTAACTGCATGCTGACAGAAATAGCATCATGGAACACATTGGTTTAGTGGCAAGCAACTTTTGAAAAACTTAGCCCCTATTCCCTGCTTCTCCTTTAAAAAAAAAATCTAAATACATTTGGCTATTTTATAAAATAACTGTATGATAGTACATAAATTTCATGTAAACAAAAGAAGCTGTTGTGAGGGGTGCCTGTGTGGCTCAGTCAGTTGAACGTCCAACTTCATCTCTGGTTACTACCTTGCAGTTTGTGATTTCAAGCCCCGCATCAGGGCTCTGACAACTCAGCGCCTGGAGACTGTTTCAGATTATCTATCTCCCTCTCTGTGTCTCTGCCCCTCCTCGACTCATGCTGTGTCTTTCTCTGTCTCTCAAAAATGAATCAACATTTAAAAAAAAAAAACGAAAACAGAAGCTGTTGTGAAATGCCCATAATCTCATAGGCCAGAGATAATTGCTGTTAGCTGGTGTATGTTCTTCCAGACCCTTTTTCTGATGCAGTTTTTTTTTCTTTTATTAAAGTGGTATTACAAAAGTACATGTTTTCTAACATAAAACAGAATCTGAAGCATGTTCCAGACTCCAGCCATTAGCACAGAGCCTAATGCGGGATTTGAACCCACAAACAGTGAGATCGTAGCCCTAGCCAAAGTCAGACATTTAACTGCCTAAGCCACCCAGGTGTCCCAAAACATACTTTTTATTGCACAATAGTAATAAGTCTCCACTCTTTCCCTCCCCTGGTTTTAAAACTGAACATGAGGAATCGGTGTGGGGGGAATCTTGTCATCTTCAGGGCTTAGGTCTAAAGAAGACAGTCTCTCTCTGTGATGTTAATATTACTCAGATGCTGGAGGAAGAATCTAACCAGCGGTCTCTGACTGGTGATTTCTCCAAGGTGAGTGGTTATCCTCATCCTATATTTCATTGAATCATTTTGGACTTGAATCTTCTTTTTTTCTTTGCTTGCAGAGGACACTAGGTATAATCATGCATCCTTACCAACTACTATTTGATAACCGGAAGGTGCTATTGTGATAAATCTAGACCCTAAGCCTTTCCAGGGAAAAAGTATTTTTTATTAATTCTGGGAAAATCCAAAACAGTGGGGAAATGTGAGGCTTTTTACTTTTTTCTTTTTAAAATATCTTTTAAAGGGGCGCCTGGGTGGCTTAGTCGGTTGAGCGTCCGACTTTCGCTTAGGTCATGATCTCGCGGTTCGTGGGTTCAGGCCCCGCGTCGGGCTCTGTGCTGACTGCCAGCTCGGAGCCTGGAGCCTGTTTCAGTCTGTGACTCCCTCTCTCTCTGACCCTCCCCTGCTCACGCTGTCTCTCTCTCTCCTAGAAATAAATAAAACATTTAAAAAAATAAATAAATAAAATAAAATAAAATATCTTTTAAAATTATGTAAATAATACTTGGTCATTACAGAAAAAGTAGAAAATGCAATATACCTCAAATTTTATCAACATCTTGGAATCTATTCCTCTAGACTTTTTTCTCTGTGTTTTCATAAACACACATGCACAGACACAAATACATATTTTTATTTTTTCACAAAAAATAATTTATGCTGTTTTATGATGTACTGGGTTTTTTCTTCCTCATTTAATATATCAAATATATCTTTTCATGTCAATAAACAGTTCTGTTTAATCATTTCAAAAAATTTTTAAATGTTTACTTAGAGATTGAGTGAGAGTAGGGAAGGGGCAGAGAGAGAGGAAGAGAGAGAATCCCAAGTAGGCTCCATGCTGTCAGCACGAAGCCCGACATGGGACTCGAACCCATGAACCATGAGATCATTACCTGAGCTGAAATCAAGAGTCAGATTCTTAACCAACTGAGCCACTCAGGCACCCCAACAGCATTTCATAATTTTTAATAGTATAGTATTTCTTTTTTTTTTTTAATTTGGCTTCCCATAATTTTTTTAAAATATTTTTATTTTTGTATTTTTAAGTAATCTCCACACCTACTGTCGACTTGAACTCACAATTCTGAGGTCAAGAGTCATATGCTCTACCAATTAAGCCAGCCAGGTGGCCCTGCCCATAATTTCTTGATAAAGCTGTTCTTGTAAGATACTTACTTTTACAATTTTTCCTTTTGAACTATACCAAGGTGGACATATTTGTAGCTAAATCTAAAACTTTGTACACATCCTTAATTAGTTCCTTAGAATCACTTCTTAGAAATGGATTGTTACATATGCAAGGTATAGAGACTCTTGATTGTTTTGAAGGCATCTGGGGTTTTAAAGGTGAGTTGGAAAAAAGGACAGTTTGGGGTCTTTGATCTCAAATTGGGGTATAGAAAACTTACTGTTATTTCACCTCTTGGGTATTTCTAGGTGTGTGTGCTGCCAACCGTGTCAGGGAGACACCAAGATCTGAAGTATATCAACCCAGAGACAGTAAGCAGACTTCTGGAGATGGTAACTGGTTACATAAGCTACCATCTGGTCTGTTCTGTCCCTAAAATCTCCACTTCTATTATATTTCTTTCATTATGTTCACTCACACAGGCTCCTCATTCAAATGAAGCTGTGTTAAAGGATTCCCATTTATTTCATTCTTTTGCCTTTATTTTTAATTAAACAAATGATATAAAATTGTTATGAAACAAAGAAAACAATGAAGGAAGGGAGGGCAGGAAACAAGTCAAAATCACTCAGTTTGGGCAAACTTACATCTTGGTTGAGATGTTACAATCCCATTGACACCTTGCAGTGTGGGGTGATTATTTATAGTACTTTCTTTCACTCTCAAAGGTGTCCTAGTTTGTACAATAATTATTTGGTAACCCTACCCATAGTCTTGTCACTGGAGATAACCACTAGTAATATTTTCCTTATGGCCTTCCAGATTTTATTCTGGAATATCTTTGATAAAAATGGGATCATAATGAACATGTTGGCTTTGATACGTTTTGAAGGTAGCTTAGCAAGACATTGTCAACATGCTTCTACTTCAATAAAAAAGTCTCTATTATCCTTTCAACGTACTATATAGTATTCTATTATATTGGCATGTATAATTTAACCAAACCGCTATTATGAATACTTAAGTTATTTGTAACATTTTGATCACCTAAAATAATGAACGCAGAGATGAATATTGTTGTGCCACATCTTTGCATACTTTTCTGTTCACTAAAGATGTTGGGATAGAAATTATTGAGTCAAGTGTAACTACACTTACATTTACAAACTTTGTTCCAGAAAGGTTGAACCAATTTACACTGCTACAAGTAGCTTAAGGATATCAACCCTTTCTTTGCATATCTTTTCCTGAAAGATTTACTTTCTTCCTTTACAATGGAGCATGGGGAAGCATTTCCCATTTCTTCTTGCAAAGTCGGAATCATTAACTGCTCCCTATACCACTGCAGAAGTCCTTGGGTGTCTTCTGAGAGGTTCAATGCAGCCATGCCTTTGTCCAGATGAGTGACTTGAATACAGTTTTCTCTGGTGTCTTGGCACTACTAGCTATTTTGGTGTTCCAAAAAGACCATTTCCTATTTTATCCTCTTGAATGAGGGGTAGAGTTGCAACCATTGCTCCATTTCAAATATAAGGGGCCTTTGGAGGGCGAGGATACAGTGGAATGCTGGGTGACTAAAGGGAGTACAGATCATGAACTGTGTGAATGGCTCTTCTCTTCCTTGGAGTAACTGGGAACAGAATGTTCAGTCATTGTTTCTGTGCAGGTGGCTGCCTTACTGTCAGGGAAGTTCCAGAGTCTGATTGAGAAGTTTTATATCATTGATTGCCGTTATCCATATGAGTACTTGGGAGGACACATCCAGGTGAGGTTACATAGAGGACATTAGTTGGGTGGGGCTGGAGGTAGCTTTTTAGTAAGCAGATTCTATGGACAAAAGCCCTATGAACTCCAGAACCAGGGCAGAGGTTATACATTTGGAACACATCAAGGCTGCAAGTCCTCATTCCTATTCTAATTCTGTGTTCGTTGAGCAATTTACTTTCCCTTTTTCTCCTAGACCAATCTCCCTCTATTTTGTTGGAGCCAAGGGCTCCTACTTGGAATTAAAATATTAATGCAAGGATTCAGAAGTACTTTGCAGATACTCATAGACATTCCTCACAATGATTCCTACATGTTAGGGGCGGGGGGTAGTCAGTTCTACAGACATTTATTGAATACCTACTACATACCAAGCTCTCTGCCAGACCTTAGGGATAGACCCAGAGATATAATTAGATCTATGCCCCAAAAGTGTTTATAGTCTAGACTTTCTGGCCCAAATATCCGAAGATGGTATCCCAGTTATTTCTAAGTGTTGGAACTGTCCATAGGCACTTAAGGAAATACAGTACTTACTAAAATTCTTCTACAGGGAGCCTTAAATTTGTACAGTCAGGAAGAACTATATAACTTCTTTCTGAAGAAGCCTACTATCCCTCTGGACTCCCAGAAAAGAATAATCATCGTGTTCCACTGTGAATTCTCCTCAGAAAGGGGTCCTCGAATGTGAGTGTCTACGTGGGGTAGGGCGGGTGTTGGAAATGGACCTTGAATTGGGAGTTAAAACCAGGGAACCTTCCCAGACTAGTTCAGACTGAGACTGGAATGAATAAATGCATGCATGCATGCATGCATAATTTCCATTGCAGTTTAAAGGTTAGGGAAGTGGAAGAAAAGGTTTCTACAATTTAAAAGTTTGGAGCAGGGGGGTGCCTGAGTGGCTGACTCTTGGTTTTCACTCAGGTCATGATCTCATGGTTTGTGGGCTGGAGCCCCGCATCAGGCTCCCCCACTGACAGCATGGGGCCTGCTTGGGATTCTCTCTCCCTCTCTCTCTGTCTCTCCTCCCGCCATCAAAATAAACTTAAAAAAAATTTTTTTTTTTTTTTAAAGTTTGGAGCAGTGAAGGAAAAAAGATTGGGAAAGAGATAGCAAAGGAGAAGAGAAAGAGTGACTACTTGAATCTTATTTTGCAAACAATGAGATTTGGAGGTCCTTTTGGGTTACCCATAGTCTATTCTTTGTTCCCTTCCCCAGTGAATGATCCGTGGAATCCTGACCTTGTTTCTTTCCACCCCACCCACCTCTGGGTTTTCTCTAAAGGTGTCGCTCTCTGAGAGAAGAGGACAGAGCTCTGAACCCGTATCCTGCACTGTACTACCCAGAACTATATATCCTCAAAGGGGGCTACAGAGACTTCTTTCCAGAATATATGGTAAAGAATGGGGCATGTGGGCAACAGGAGAGCTAGGACTTGGGGGAGCCAACTTTAGCATGCAATTTCCAGGACCTGCAAAGCCCTTTGAGAAGAAACTGCTGCTTTTTCTTAGCTACTACTAGCAGCATCTCCGTTAGTAGGCAGAGTTGTGGAGACCAGAGTGTCCCTTACTTTGTCCCCTGCCTTTCAGGAATTGTGTGAACCACAGAGCTACTGCCCTATGCATCACCAAGACCATAAGGCTGAGCTGCTGAGATGTCGAAGCCAGAGCAAAGCATGGGAAGGGGAGCGGCAGCTGCGCGAGCAGATTGCCTTACTGGCGAAGGATGTGAGCCCATGACATTCGATCAGTGGTTTCCTGCTTAGCAGTCACCCAAAGACACTGTAGAAACCCTGAACAGAAAGAGGCTGTGTTATATGTGACAAAACCCAAGATTGTTAAAAGATGTCTGTGAACCAACAGGCTGCCAAGCTAATGAAATTCCAGGCCTGGGGTTGGTTTTAGCAGAGCTGCTGACTGGTGATTAAGTCTCCAAGCTGGCTTTAGAAGGCTTTGGGTTCAGTAGAGATTTGTGTTGCTTCAGCAAGTAGTTACATTTTCTTCCCAGTTAGTATATTCTCACAAGCCAGTCAGCTCTTTCTCTCCCTGAGCTTCTGCCCATGCAAGATAGTTGCACATCTTCTTTCTCTGTACTTTCTTCTTTGTTTCCCTCTCTCTCTTTTTCTTAAATGGGAAAATAAACACTATAGAATGAGAGATTTGATTGTGAGGCTAGTCTCCTCCTAGATCTTTATAAGGAAGAGATCACCAAATTAGACCCCTTTAGACAAAGGTGTAACCATCTTGATTTATAGCTGAGGGCAAGGTGCTTTTCTCTAGACCAGTGGTTCTCAAAGTTTGAGCCCTGGACCATAGGCATCCTCTGAACTTCTTTGAAATGTAAATTTTCAGGCCTCATCACACACTAAAACAAAACCTCTGAGTTGGGGCTCAGAATTCGGGGTTTTAAAATTTCCCTTTCATGTGATTCTGATGCACACCAAGATTTGAGAACCACTGCTCTAGAATTAAGGAAACCTTTTAAACTGCATTGTCCAGCAATATCCTGGCTATCCTTTCTTAGACCATTCCAAGGTATGAGTTACCTAAAGTGTCCCCCATATTCAGTACGCTGTGATAAGTAGGCTCAGAAAACTAAGATGATTGGCATCTCTAAGGCAAGTTATAGCTCTGAGTTGGGCTCAAAAAGATTCCTTGTCCCTAGTCTCAATGGAATTTTGACTTTTCTCATTTCCCACACTCTTTTCTCCACTTGATTTCACATTTCACAGAGATAAGTTTAGGACTTGGGATAGTTGGAAGTAGAGATCTGTGCTATCAGAATATAGGAATAAAAGGATACAAAAGTAGCAACCAAGAGCAGTTAGACTTAAGGAAGACCTTTTAAACTGTATTTTTCAGCATTATCCCAGGCTTTCCGTTCTTAGAGCTCTTTAAGGCAAGCAGCCTTTTATCTTCATAGTGAGATACAGCATGTGGCCAGGGGTGGCCGTGGAATTGCCACTGAACATTGTCATTCTCCTGCATTAACCTGATAGGAGTGCTAGCCCAGGACTGGAAAAGGACAAAGGGTTCTGAAGCCTGGCTGAGATAGAATAGAGACAAAAGTGACATCTTCCCAGGTTCTGGGGCCTAGAGACTTAATTTTTAAGTGAATGGAAGGGAAGAAGGGCAGGAGCTGGACTGATGTTTGCAAAGTTTGCTAGTGCGCTTCTCCTCCTCTTCCAGCAGAGGGCGCTGCTGTATTCTCTAAGGCAGCTCCTGGAGCCTGCAGCCTCCACTGCTTGCACTTGCCTCTCTTTGCCTAAGAAAGCTATCTTTCTGGCCCTCTCCTTGAGCCCTTGAGCTCAGAGCTCAGAAGGGCTGAGAGGAAAGGAGAGAAAAGCTTCAGCCATATTAGGTGCAGATGGGTGAGGAGACAACACTGCTCTTCTATCTTGCCCCACATCCTTACCCGTGCAAATAGGTACTCCTAGTAGCCTGAGGAAGAAAATGTTTGAAGCACCTCCACTTCCAAGTATGAGGAGGGAGGCCCCTTACTTGTTGCCTAACCTAGTGGGTCATTTCCTGATCATTTTCCCCAGAAAAGTAGAACCAAACCCCCACCTGGGAAGAGACTAGTGCTCGTGTCCACATTTCAGTAATCTTTTTTTTTCAGTCCCATTTTATTTTGTTATTTTTAAATACAATTTATTGTCAAGTTGGCTAACATACAGTGTACTCTTGGTTTTGGGGGTAGATTCCCATAATTCATTGCTTACATACAACACCCAGTGCTCATCCCAACAGGTGCCCTCCTCAATGCCCATCACCCATTTTCCCCTCTCCCCTGCACCCTCATCAACCTTTAGTTTGTTCTCTGTATTTAACAGTCTCATGTTTTGCCTCCCTTCTTCTCTGTTTATAACTATTTTCCCCCCTCCCCCCATGGTCTTCTGTTATGTTTCTCAAGTTCCACATATGAGTGAAAATGTATATCTTTCTCTGACTGACTTAATTCACTTAGCATAATACTCTCCAGTTTCATCCACCTTGCTGCAAATGGCAGGATTTTATTCTTTCTCATTGCCAAGTAGTATTCCATTGTATATATAAACCACATCTTCTTTATCCATTCATCAGTTGATGGACTTTTAGGCTCTTTCCGTAATTTGGCTATTGTTGAAAGTGCTGCTATGAACATTTATAGCAGGGCTTACAATAATCTTCATTAAGTGGAAGTTCTGAGTTGCAAAACAAAAACTAGGGCTTAAGTAGTTATCTACTTTTTGAAAAATTACATTTGCCTAAAGGGCACCATTTTCCTATATAATTTCTTGTAATATTCTCCCACCACATAGGTACCATGCGATATGATTTATGTTATTTTCAGGAATAATAACAGTAGTTAACATTTTTCAGGTGCTTATTATATGCACGACTTTTTATGAACTCATGTATAAACTAGTTTAATTTTCACAATAGTCTGTGAGGCAGGTCTTATTATTAGGCATATTTTACAGATAAAGAAAGAAACAGAAGGATTCAGTAACATATTTAAGATCACACAGCTAATGGGGGCGCCTGGGTGGTTCACTTGGTTGAGCATATGACTCTTGATTTTGGCTCAGGTCATGATCCCCTGTTGGCTTCTGTTCTGAGCATGGAACCTGCTTAAGATTCTCTCTCTCTCTCTCTCTCTCTCTCTCATTCTCTCCAAAATAAAAAAAAATTTTTTTTTAATTAGGAAAAAATAAAATGGTCACATAGGTAATGAATGGTGGCGTTTGGATTTGAACCCAGGCAGTATGGCTCCAGAGACCATATGCTGAATGGATTTGCTGTTACCAAATCCTCAACAAAGAATAATGTGCCTCTCTAGAGTTGGCACTGTATTACATGTTAAATATGTAATTGAGTGCCTCAGTTATAGTTTCTTAAGAAGTCAGGGCCATAAGGATTGCTTGGGCTTGGGAGATGAGGTTAAGGACTAAGACTCCAGCCCAGAAACCTTGGCATGAGGTGTATAGTGGGTCACCTCTATACTAACACTAACTGGTTGGTATTTGTTCATCAAAATGTCAAGAAATGAAGATTGGAAATCTTTCAGTCTAAAAACATGGTTTTCAGTCTCAGCCCAGGATCTTTCTGACCTTTGCCATAGAGGACAGGAACATTTTCCTTTCCTCATCATAAATATAACATGGGAGGAGATAGGGAAGATTCTCTTTCCCCATTCAATTCATGCAAATGTTAAAGAAACACTAATTCCTTTTCTTTTTATTTTATTTATTTTAGAGAAAGAGCAGGGGAGGGGCAGAGGGAGAGGGAGACAGAGGATCCGAAGTGGGTTCCATGCCGACAGTAGAGAGCCCAATGTGGGGCTCAAACTCAGAAACTTCGAGATCATGACCTGTGCCAAATTCTAACACTTAACCGACTGAGCCACCCAGGCACCCCTATTATTTTTTGTAAACATTTTATTTTTTTGAAGTTTATTTATCTCGAGAGGGAGTGTGTGTGTGTGTGTGTGTGTGTGTGTGTGTGTGTGTGTGTGAGTGAGTGTGTGTGTGTGCATGCAAGCCACGGAGAGGCAAAGAAAGAATCCTAAGCAGGCTCTGTGCTGTCAGTACAGAATCCAACCACAGGGCTTCATCTCACAAACTGTCCTTGCCCTCAAGAGACTGACAAGGTAGAGGCATCTGGGTGACTCAGTTGGTTAAGCATCTACCTCTTGATTTGGCTCAGGTCATGATCTTAAGGCTCATGGGTTTGAGCCCCATATTGGGTTTTGCACTGAGCATGGATCCTGCTTGGGATTCTCTCTCTCTCTCTCTCTCTCTCTCTCTCTCTCTCTTTCCCTCTATCACCCCTGCTTATGGGAATGTGCTCTCTCTCTAAATAAATAAACATTTAAAAAAAGAAAGACTGACAATATAGAAAACAATTTCCTTTTTTCCCATCCCTATAAGCACTCTGGCAAAGAGAAGAAGTACTATAGACTCCAGCTCCAAAGCAGTAAGTCTGGTGGTGGGGGTTGGCCAACTTCTGCATGCCACCTGGAATGATACCATTTATTCAGTGCTTGCTCTGTGCCAGGTACTATGCTAAAGTCTTTACTCAATATATACTTGTATAATCCTCACAACTGTTACATGAAGTAGGTACTGTTATTAATTTTACAGATGAAGAAACTGAAGCCCAGAAAAATTAAGTGCTGTCCCCATAGTCATCCAGAATGTGTTGAACCCAGAAGGTCTATAAAGCTTGTGTTCTATTCACCATACTGTTAACATCTCAGGTGAGGGTAGCAGCAGGAATTAAAGCTTACCAGTGAGAGAGGGCTTGATAGAAGGCATAAAACCAAGATTAAAAATGAAGTGGAGTAAGATGCAAGATTTTTAGAACTTTGAGCCCAATCAGTGGATTGCAAAGCTTCCCTTCCTAGGGCAGGTTTTGTCTCTCTCTCTTTTTTTTTTTTAATCTTTTTTTTATTTATTTCTAGGAGAGAGAGAGAGAGAGAGACAGCGACAGCATGAGTAGGGGAGGGTCAGAGAGAGAGGGAGTCACAGACTCCAAAATAGGCTCCAGGCTCTGAGCTGGCAGTCAGCACAGAGCCCGACGCGGGGCTCGAACCGGCGAACTGCGAGACCATGACCTAAGCGAAAGTCGGACACTTAACCGACTAAGCCACCCAGGTGCCCCAGGTTTTGTCTCTTAATCATTTTTGCACCTGGTACAAAATTGAACCCATAATCAGTCACAAAAGACATTATTGAATTGAATGATAGTCAAGTAACATCACCTTTCTAGAAAGGACTGGCTCATTTGTCATTATCCACAAGGTTCCCAAAGGCAATGCTGCTTATCTAGCAGGTGTTGGCAGTCACAGAGGACATGGTTGGTGGGGAGAGAATGTGTTGGAAAAGTTGTCAATATAAGTGTTGGAGTCATATTTATTTGCAGAGGCTTCCTCATCTCTCCCCTAGCTTTGGTTACCAATCGTCATTAAAGGTCCAATGATGTCAGGCTCTCTACTCCAGTGCTCAGGCAGAAAGATGCTCCAGGCATCTCATTTATTCTCACTAAAAGCCAGCCTGTTACAGATGGAGTTGGGATTGCTCTCAACCTAGCAGTCTGACTTTGTTCCTGCCTTCCTGGTCCATTCCATGGGGATGGCACTGAGTAGACGCTTAAGAGTAGACCTCCTGAGGAAATGCCTTTCCCCAGCTTGTCCTCCTACCCAAACTTGATCGGGCTTGGTTGCTGAAGGAGGGGGGAGAGCAGAGGGGACACCCCTTGACACACAACACCCCCCCCCCAACTCTGTTGATTCATCAGTCTCAGCCCTTTTCTAGCATCCTAACCATCTGAAATTGTTACTTTTTGTAGATCCCATTTTGAAACTATTGCCAGAGTGGAGTGGACAGGGGATATCAGTCCCCAGCTACAGCTTTCTAACCTCACTGGAGGAGAAGGTACAGGGAGGTAGTGTGGCAATGGGGGAAAACAGGCCCTTTACAAAAGCTGAGTAGCCAGATGTTCATTTTCACAGCTCTCCTGGAAGACTGACAGGGCAGATAGAGATTAAAATAGAGCACAAACTCCATTTAAAGTGCATTATAGCTCAGGAACCAGCTCCCCTTGGGCAGGCGAAGGGAGGAAAGGGCACGAGAGGCCACATCTCTTCATCCTTATCTAGGGCCACATGTCTCTCTCCTAGCTTTGTGAAGGGTGATTTACACCCCTGGCTGGAATGACTCTCTTTCTCGGCTGATTACATCTGCAAATGCCCCCCAGAGGCCACAGCAGGATGGCCATATTCAGAAGCAGCAGCCAATAAATCTCAGAGGTTTATATTGCATTTCTTGATCCCCTTCTTCTGGCCCTCTGCCAGGCCTCTGTGGAGTGAGGAGAGGGCTTGGGCTGCAGGGTTAGGGGACAAAACCCGCCACTTCCTTTCATTATCCCGTTCTTTCTCTTTCTAAGCATTGCTTGGTTATTCTTTCAAGTCATTGTGCCTCTATTTACCCTGGGAGCAGGTGGGAATCAACCCTAGGTTCAACAAATACCCTTAGCCTTGTGGGTAGAAATCCTGGGCTCTGGGCACAGCTGTGTTTCTACCTTGCTGTTTACTCTTGATAGAGTAGGTTGCTTTCAGAAACATCACCTGAAAATGAGGAGGCTGCTAAATGATCTCTCTAGCACCTTCCTTAGGGATCCTATCTTATCTCCAGGGAAATCTCTAATCTGAGGAGGGCTAATCCTTCCACCCTCCCTCATGACAGTGAAGGGGTTGAATTTTGGAGGAGGCTAGTCTGGCAGAAGTCCTGGCATCTGGCCTCAAGACTGTCCTCTCGGCACAGCCATTTCACCTGTCTGGGACCCATCTTTGCAAAGTCACGGGGTTAATGATAACAGCCCAACCTTTACCCTTGAAGATACTTACAAGGGGAAATGGAGGCAAAGTTGTGCAAATTCTAAGTGAGGGAGAAAAAATACTATTGAGTGTTCTGGTGCTGTTCAGGTTTTGCTGCAAGATTTCACTGTGTTTCCTGGAAGGGGTGGGGTTGCGGGGTCCAGAAACAGAAATGGTGCGCTTTTTTTTTTTTTTTTAATACTTGAACCCCTGATAGGGCGAGTCTCCAGCTGCAGCTACCACGATTGTATTGGGCAGAAGTGCTCCTCAAAGTGAAGAGGACAGTGGGGGGACAGGTGGTTGGCCCGTTCGGTTAGAGCACCCTCTGGCAGGCGGAAGCCAGGCGCATGCCCTTGCTCACCCCCACGCTCGACGTCTTCCCGATAGAGTAGAAGCGGCGCGGCGTGGTGCGTCCGCGCGCTTCGGAGTTGAGGGCGGCGCCCAGGACCCTGGTGGGAGAGTGTCGGAGCCGCGCGGAAGGGCGGGAGGCGGCAGCGGTCGGCGGTCGCCGAGCCTGCCTCACAGAGCCTCAGCTCGCGGAGCTAGTGGAGCGCGGCGCTCTTGCGGGCGTGCAGCCTCCAGGGGCCGACGGTCGGCGTGCGGACAGAGCCATGGCGCGCCCTCCTAACCCGGGACCACTGCTGCCTTTACTCCTGCTACTGCTGTTGCTGCTGGCACCGCTTCCGCTGGGAGCCGGTGAGTGTCGTCTGTGCGTACGCGAGGCTGCTACACCGGGGCATTAGGGGGAAAGGAGAGGAGCGTACGGGTGGGGTGCTGTGGTCACAGTTGTCCACAGGGAGCTCAGACACCGCATCGCCGCCGTCCCAAGTGTCTATTCGAGGAAGGAAGCCCTGGGTGCCAGGAAGGGGCTACCTTCCATTCCTAATACAGTCTTTGAACTGTTGTATATTGAATGCCAGTAATGGCCAGGACTCCCAAGCATCTCCTCATCCCCTTCCTCCCCATTCCCCCACTTTCCTCTTTTGAGATGCGCCTACACAGACACAGAACTATCGCAGCCAGGCCACTTCCACGACAGCATCTCTAGAAGGCGGGGAGAATCAGAGGCTGGAGTGCCATTTGCTCCACATGGGCTTCAACTCTTCACTCTCTGTAAGGTCTGGGGAAGTGAACAGTAGGTAGGATGAAGAAAGAAGTTTTTGTTAAAACTGACTTGTCACAGAGTAGGGTTGTAAACTGCTGCCAGAACTTGCTAACATTATTTGAGAATATTTCTCACCGCCAACTTACACCCCAATCCCCTTCCGAACATACTTTTTCATTTTAATCATGGTCAAAAACTCCCTATTGGGGAAGACGGCTCAGCACATGCCTTGTTCTATTATAGATACACAATAAATATTTTGTAGAATCTATAGTTCAAGGCCTGGTTTGTGAACAATGCTATTGCCCCAGAGAGAAGGGTCGCCTTGGATCCAAGACCCCAGGGAACATGTCCATGACCTTTGGAGTGGGATGGGTGCATGGAAATCTCATTGTGGGACTCCTGCCCAGAGCCTGAGTGGAGGAAATCCTGAGGCAGAGACCACACATGGACCAGTCACCTCAGTCCACAAAGTAGTCACTGAAGGAATGAAATACTGTATATGTGAAGTCTTGGCTTCAAAACAGATGTGGAAGGAAGGAGGGAAAGGACTGGTCTGTCCAGACTGACTCCATCAGTAAATCAGGGCAGCAAGTTATTACCAATCTGATTTGACTGCCCAGAAAATTTCAGTAACCCTGACAGTATGGCTGCATGTCAAGATTAGGCAGAAACCTTAAACACCTTCTTCACAACCAATTAAAGTGGAACAAGTTCCACCCTGTTATGATGAACTTTAACATTGCCCCTACCTTCTTTTGTTGAGCTGCAGTTGCCCCTAAATCCACCATTGTTCAGACTCTGTGAACTGTCAGCTAAGAAATTAGAGAGTTTTACTTTTGAAAATTCCCCTGACTCAATATTTAGTCCAATTTAAGCAGTGACGCTTGGACTTGCTACATTTCTTTCAGCAAGCACTTTTGGGTACAGGCCAGCAGTAACATCTTAAACACTTAATGTTTTTCAATCTGTTTTATTTAAAATTGGTGAATATTATTTATTTATTTATTTATTTTAATTTTATTTAAATCCAAGTTAGTTAACATGTAGTGTAATAATGGTTTTAGGAGTAGAATTTAATGATTCATCACTTAACATACAACACCCAGTGCTCATCTCAACAAATGCCTCCTTCATGCCCATCACCCATTTGGCCCATCCCCACCCCCAACCCTTAGTTTGTTCTCTATCTTTAAGAATCTCTTATGTTTTGCCTCCCTCTCTGTTATCTTGTTTTTCCTTCCCTTCCCCTTCTTAAACTGTTTAAATCGGTGTTTCTCTTCTGGTAAAGATAAATCTCTCATGCCTTCCCTAAATATGTTTTTGAAGTTTTCAAAGTGTTTTTTAATCTTCCACGTATATGATGATCAAATATGCTTTTTTGAACCACCCCATTACCTTTGGGAATTCTGATAAACCCCTGGAAGGGGCCTGACCTTCATCTTTCCTAGCCCTCCATTGAGAAACATTGGTTTAATCCAAATTCCACACCTGACATTTGGGAAAATAAGGTCTAGAAAGTGAAGTAAATTGTCCTAGGCAAAACTGGGACTAAGGTGAGTGAGTGTAGGGAGTGCCATTCAAACAGTATTCAAGATAAAGACTATTTTAATGCAATATATTATTTAAGATTTTAAAAATTATTTTAGGTAATCTTTACACCAAATGTGGGTCTCAAACTCAAATCCCAAGAACAAGAGTCACATGTTCCACCAACTGAGCCAGCCAGATGTTCCTTAATGCAGTATTTTTAAAAAATAAAAATCAGAGGGGCACCTGAGTGGTCCAGTTGTTTAAGGGTCCGACTTTGGCTCAGGCCATGATCTCAACTGTTCATGAGTTCGAAGTTCAAGCCCCATATCGGGCTCTCTGCTCTCAGCACAGAGCCTGCTTCAAATCCTGTCCCTCTCTCTCTGCCCCTCACCTGCTTGTTATCTATCTCTCTCTTTTGATTTATTTATCAAACCATAAGTGTTAAAAATTTAAAAAAAATCAAAATCAGAGGCATCACCACTGCAGCCACCACCACATCCACAGTCATGCCAAAGCACGAGTTCTCTGTAGACATGAGACCTGTGAAGGCTGCTCTAATGCAGTCAGTCGGGTGCTCAGCAAGCTGGGAAGAGTTGAGTTCGACATTGACCTGCCCAAGAAGAAGATTTGCATCATCTCGAGCACAGCATGGACCTTCTGCTGGAGACTGTGGGAAAAGCAGGAAAAGCTGTTTCCTACCTCCGCCCTAAGTAGCGAGGGCCTGGATCCTTGGGCCCAAGATGGACCAAAGGGGACTGGCCGCTGATCATCTCCTGCCTTTCAGACAGGCCTGGGGCCTGGCAGTCCTACTCAGCAATGGGAGTTCCTACAGAGACCCTCACTTGCCCGGCCTCTCCCTAGCTTCCCTGCAATAAAAATGAGCCCCTTTATTGGGAGGTAGGGGGGATCAGTGCTGACATAGGCACCTGGGTGGCTTAGTCATTTAGGCATCTGACTTTGGCTCTTGTGATGATCTCACGGTTTGTGAGTTCAAGTTCCACTTTGGGTAAACATGAGCCCCATTCAGTTGAGCCCCACTTCTCTCTCTCTGCCCCTATAGGATCCCCTCTCCTCCCCAACATCTCTTGCTCACTTGTGTCCTCTCTGTCTCTCAAGAAAAAAGATTAAAATCAGTGCTTGCTTCGGCAGCACATATACTAAAAATCAAAGTCAATGTTACCCACTAAAATCCATGAGGAGCAAAATATCAAAAATTTCAATAAAAAGAGTAACAATGCCATGGTGAAGCATATTGGATCCTGAAGCAAAAGGTGAAATCTATACTACTGGTCCTGCTTTTGTCTATGCTTTTCTCAAACTTTGGGATGCATCATATTTTCCGGTGAACTTGCTAAAATTCAGATTCCCAGGCATTATCACCACAGATTCTGATTCAGTATTTCTGGGATAGGGTCAGAAATCTTCATTTTAATAAGTAATCCATTTAATTATTGTTTGAAAGAGAAGTTTGGACTAACTAAACTTTAAGCCTTTCCTAATTTTGGCACTCTGATTTTAAACAGAGGGAAGGGGCTCAGAGAAGTTAGAGAGGTGGCTCATAGGACTTCTTTATTATTTGGTTAAGTTTATTCATTATTTTAAGAGAAACAGACAGCACTAGTGGGGGAGGAGCAGAGAATGAGGGAGAGAGACAGAATCCCTAGCAGGTTCTATGCTGCAAGTGCAAAGCCCAACACAGCCAGAACTGACGAAACTGTGAGATCATTACCTGAGCCGAAACCAAGAGTTGGACACTTAACCAACTGAACCACGCAGGCGAACCTGGTTATTTTTTAAATAGTAGGAGCTCATAAAGAACCAGCACTGTTCAAGGCACTGGCAACAGAGCAGTGATAAGATAGATGTGGAAGTCCAGAGGGGGAGATAATGAAAAGTCAAGTTAAAAAAATTAAGTGATGATAAGTGCTATGCAGAGAATTGGTGTAACGATGTGGTAGAGTAGCTAGGGAGTTATTTTACATTGGTTGGTTGAGGATGGCCTTTCTGCGATGACATTTAGGCCAAGAACTGAATTACCAGAAGGGGCCAGCCATGTGAAGATCAGGGGGAAGAACATTCCAAGCAAAAAGAAAGGTTAGGGCAAAAATGCTAAGGTTGACACAGACTTGTTTTGTTCAGTGGCAACAGAAGGAAGGCAAGTGTGGGTAAAAGAAAGTGGGAGAGGAGGAGAGGGCTGGGAGGTAAGGTTAGGTAAGTGAGCAAGCAGGGACCAGCTTTTACAAGAGTTTGTAAACCAGAGCATATAAACTAGATCCTAATCTAATTTTTAATGTTTATTTTTGAAGGATAGAGAGTGACAGGGTTGGGGTGGAGGTGGGGGTTGGGGGAGAGCAGAGAGAGAGACAGAATCTGAAGCAGGTTCCAGGCTCTGAGCTGACAACACAAAGCCCGATGCAGGGCTCCAACTCAAGAGCTGTGAGATCATGACCTGAGCCGAAGTCAGATGCTTAACCAACTGAGTCACCCTGGCACTCCTAAACTAGATTGTTGCAAATACTCATACATGAATGTTCACACAAGCATTATTCACAATAACCAAAGCACGGAAACAGCCCAAATGTCCATCAACTGATGTATTGGTAAATGAAATATGGAATATCCATACAATGAAATATTACTCATCCATAAAAGAATGAAGTACTGATACCTGCTGTAATGTGGATGAGCCTCCAAAAGTAGTATGTTAGGGGCACTTTGGTGGCTCAGTCGGTTAAGCATCCGACTTTTGATTTTGGCTCAGCTCATGGTTTCATAGTTTATGGGTTCAAGCAAGGGATCAGGGTCTTCATTGTGGTTAAACTTGCTTGAGATTCTCTCTCTTCCTCTCTCTCTGCCCCTCTCCTGCTTGTGCATGTGTGTGCTCTCTCAAAATAAATAAAACTTTTTAAAAAAAGCAATATGTTAGGTGAAAGAAACCAGATACAAAAGATTACATATTTTATGATTCCATTTACATGAAATATCTAGAATAGGTAAATCTGTAGAGACAAAATAGATTACTGGTTGCCGGAGACTAGAGGGGTGAGAACAGGGAGAGTGACTATTTAGTGAGTACAGGTTTCCTTTTGGGGTAATGAAAATATATTGGAATTAGAAGTAATGGTTGTACAACACTATGAATGCACTGAATGCCACTTAATTATGCCCTTTAAGGTGGTTAACTGTATGTTGCATGAATTTTACCTCAATGAAAATGCTTTCCAACATTAAAAAAAAAAATCATTAAAAAAGATGGATGCGGGGCCCATAGGTGGCTCAGTTAAGGGCCAACTTCAGCTCAGGTCATGATCTCGCAGTTCGTAATTTCGAGCCCCAGGTCAGGCTCTATGCTGACAGTTTTGAGCCTGGAGCCTGCTTTGTATTCTGTGTCTCACTCTCTACCCCTCCCCTGCTTGTGTGCTTGCTTGCTCTCTCTCACTCAAAAATAAACATTAAATAAAAAGATGGCTGCATCAACAAAATGGTAGTTATGTGAGGTAAAAGATGTATTAACTAATCTTATTGTGTTGATCACTTCACTATATATGTAAATCATATCACGTTGCCCACCTAAAACTTACACGATGTTGTATGTCCATTAAAGCTCACTAAAGCTAGAAAACAAACAAAAAATATGGCTGAATGGTATGGGAGAATGAATTTAGAGGATGGAATCAGGGAGACCAATAAGGAGTCTACCAATAAGTGGTTCAGACAAAAGCTGATGGTGGTTGAGCTAAGAAGTGGTGATAGGTGTGGAGAGAGGTGGACAGCTTCCTGATATTGGCAGGACTTGTTGGATTGAACCTAGGATATGAGGAAAGAGGAGAATTAAAAATGACTCCTAGATGTTTTGCCTTGCAAAACTGGCATCATGACGGTGTTTTGTTACCCTTTGACAGGGATGCTAAGTCCTAGGATGTAGGGAAGATCCTCTAGGCCAACCTACAATGAACATCAGTATTCTTGGTGATGGAATCAGCAAAAGTTCCCCAACACCAACACCAAACAGTTCTCCCGTAAAGGTATTGTAAAGTGACTTTTAATGGAAGCCTCAGAGTTGTCGCTGACTCTCATTTAGCACTCCCATGCACATTGTCAACTCTCTGGTTATTATACTGGCCCTGCACGTGCATTGCTGTGCCAAGGGGGCTCTTCCCTGTGCCTGGCAGGGTCATCAGGCTCAGCTTCAGGCAACAGTTCCCCCTCCTTTTCTCAGGAGGCTGAGCAGCCTCTCTTCAAATCCACCTCTCCTTGGGCCTCATCTAGTCTGTCCAGATTGTGACAGCTGCAGATTCTTTACTCCTGCTGGGCTTTTCTCCTAAAGGCCTCTGCCACCCAAAGACTTTGATCTTGAATTCTCCTCTACTCTACCTCACAGCTTGTTACTCCCATGCATCTACTTTGACTTTATGTGAGCCTCACCTGGTCTCTCTTCCTCCACAGCAGACCCTCTCCCCACAGAGGGCCGGCTCGTGAACAGCTGTATTCAGGCCAAGAGGAAGTGTCAGGCTGATCCTGTTTGCAGTGCTGCCTACCACCACCTGAATTCCTGCACCTCTAGTATAAGCACCCCGTCACCCACACAGGAGCTTTTGGTCCCTGAGGACTGCAGGGAGGCAGCACAGCACCTCAGGAATAGCTCTCTGATGAACTGCACATGCCATCGGCGCATGAAGAACCAAGTTGCCTGCCTGGACATTTACTGGACCGTTCACCTTGCCCGCAGCCTTGGTGAGGCCCCCCTCAAAGAGTGGACTAAACTAAGGAAGATGACTCTTGTGGGGTGATTGTTTAATTCTGCAGGATATAGGCTGCATGGTAGATTCTGGCTGGGATGGTAATGAAGTTCTGCACTTGACATAAATAAGAAGTAGAGGGAGGAATTGGCAGTATTCTTTTGGGCCCCTACAATGCTACCCTCTCGTCTCCCTACTTCCCCCTTTCCTACTTGGCAACATGTAGCTGCCTCTTGGCAGAGCTTTGAACCAGACTGAGGCCCATCCTGGGGAGCTCCTGGGACAGAAGTATGTGGAGAAAAGGTGGAGGAAAATGGTCTTAACCTGTACACAGATTCCAAATTCAACGTAATCCATAAATTCAGAGAGAGTAGGAAGGAGCATCCTGGTCCTGCCTTTAACAGAAAGGATACTCGTTAACCAGACAGAAGACAGTAAGAGAGAAGGGACTGGAAGAGCCAAAGAGAGGAGCTTCCCCTGACTCTTTCCAGAGACCCCTCTCTGTATTATCAGCTTTTACTGGACTGTGCTGCTGTAACAAAACAGTGATTTGTAAAACAGGTTTTTTGTTTTGTGTTATGTTCTGTGTTAACTGTTTCATGTATCTTCTTCATTCTGGGATCCCTGCTGAAGGTACAGCCTCCCCCTGGGGTGTTCTTTTCTCATGGCAGAGGGAATGAGTAATGGCAGAAGCAGATGCTGCCTTTAAAAGCTACTCAGATGTTACATAAAATACTTACGCTTATGTTCCACGAACAAAGCAGATCACATGGCCAAGCCTGAATCCCCGTTGGGGGGAAGTATACTGTTCCCACAGGAGACTCTGAAAATCACATGGCAACAAATGTGGAAACGTAAGAGTTCTATCCAGGTAGTACTTCAGCCTCCCAGTCTAGGATCTTGTGATAATTTCTTGTCAGGTGTGGATAGAACTCCTCTTGATCTAGATACCTGTGGACAAAAAGGACAAGCCATCTGCCTGCCTCCAACATATTCTCAGTATACATCAATGGAACAGGAACTAGAGAGCCACAACAAACACTCTCACAAAGGGGAGAAATGGGAAGCACACAGCAGACATGGCTTCACAGCTGTTCTGAAGTTCTCTGTACACATTGTTGTTTAAGGGCCTTCTTCCCTGGGAGTAGGAATTGCTCTTTTATAAGGCTTTGTTTTGCTCCCTGGGAGAGCTGATTTATCTACTGTTAAAAAGATAACAGGCCAGGGCTCTTGGCCCAGCCTTCTACCTCTGGCAGGTTTCTTTGGGCACATCTGAGAAGGATATTGGAGACTCTCTCCTCTTTGAGGAGTGAACAACATTCTTAGCTTGCTTCCTACCTGAGAAATGTTTGGGCATTTTAAGTCTCCAATAGTGTCTATTTGAATCCTGGCTGGTGGTGGCTCTTAGCAGTACAACTCTCCCAAAACATAATTGCTTTTTTTTTTTTTTAATCTTTGATTTCTGTCACCTCTGGTGCCAGTAGCCTTCCCTATAATTCTTTTCAAGACATATCTCTTTCTAGACCTAATTAGAAATATCTTGCTCGTATCAGAGGGAGAGCCACTACCCTAGTTTTTTTTTTTTTTTTTTTCCCCATGAGTGTATTTGTCTAACTGGCAGAATTTATACCATCTTAATCATTGAGAGATCTCCATATGGGTATGATAGCCATGTACTTGAATTGGTCTTTGCCCCAAGGCTGAGTCTTAATGGACCTTATTACTCAAAGCATTTTTTCAATTTTATCTTTTAACATTTGAATATGAAAAGCAGTTCCATCTCTTAATTCTGCAAATCCTGGAATTTCTGGGTTCTTTCTTTTCTTTTTCCTTTCTACTTGCAAACCGATCAATTCTCTGAGCTTTTATCTTTCTTTTAGTACCTTCCAAAATGCAGCCAATAGCAATCAAGACATACTAGTAAAGGGGCACCTGGGTGGCTCAGTCGGGTAAATGTCTGTCTTGGGCTCAGATCATGATCTCAAGGTCCGTGAGTTAAGGCCCCATGTCAGGCTCTGTGCTGACAGCTCAGAACAGCTGAGAGCTTCGAGCCTGCTTCAGATTCTGTGTCTCCCTCTCTCTCTCAAAAATAAACATTCAAGAAAAAAAATTTGTTTCAGTCATACTAGTAATCTTCTGCTTCTCAGCTTCTTTCCCTTAAAGCACAAGCTCATTCAGTATAACATCTTCCTTCCAAGTTATTGCAGGCAACAATTTTCCCAAATGCTTTCCCACTGCATATTGAGGACTGCCATTTTTCATACCTCAGAACATCTTATACACCATCCCCTCACTGCCCAGTCCCAAAGCCAATACTGTACATGTTAGATTTTTTTTTTGTTACTACAGCATTCCATTTCTAGATACCAATTACAATTTTTTAATTTTAATTTTTACTTGATTTATTTTTTTAAGTAGGCTCCACACCCAGTGTGGACCCCAACATGACCCTGAGTTCCAGACCTGAGCTGAGATCAAGAGTCGGATGCTTAACTGACTGAGCCACCCAGGCACCCCACCGATTACATTTTTAATAAGAATTTGCCAGGCTATGCTGCAGTAATAACCAACCAACCCCCACATATCTGGCCTCCCACAACAAAAATTAAATTTTTGTTCATGTTACACATCTGCTGTGGGCTTCCTTGAGCTGGTTTTGTCTTTGTTCTACCTGTCTTCTTCATTTGATGATCCAGGCTGGCAGAGGGAAAAGAGTAGCAGAACACCATGTGATGGCTCTTAAAGCTTCTGCTCAGATGTGATTTATGTCACTTCTGCTCACAATCCACAGGACAAAGTAAATCACATGGGCAATCCTTACAGTAGGGTGTGGAAATATACTCCTCTCATAGGGGCCCTGAAAGTCACGTGGCAACTGAGTCGGGGGGGTGTGTGTGTGTGTGTGTGTGTGTGTGTAATCCTCTCACAGGGTGGGTAGCTATCAAATAACTGGAAACAGTAACTCGATTTACCACACTTTTCCCCCCTGTTTTCTACTCCTTATCCTAATCAGTTCTCTTTCAGAATTTCCCCAGAGACTTCTCCCTAGATCCTTTTGTCTTCCCACCTTTTCCCTTGGGAACTTTCAGGGCTTCCCAAATATCCAGATCATCCTTTCCTATTTGCTTGACCTCATCCATATTTCTTCCTTCCTAGAGATGCATTCTCAAAGGCATATTGAGTGACACTTTGTACTCTTTCATCCTTCTCTTCCAATAAGATTTATTAGCCAGCATTGATTGAGTACCTACCGTGTCTATGAGCTATGCAATGACTTTATAAGACCTGTTATATCCCCTTAAGGAGCTCACAGCCCCTCCTGCCCCCACCCCCTAGTCTGGTCCTCAGGATTCTTATCACCTTGTCTCTAGGTGACTATGAAATGGATGTCTCTCCCTATGAAGACACAGTGACCAGAAAACCTTGGAAAATGAATCTCAGCAAACTGAACATGCTCAAACCAGGTGTGGAAGGCAGTCTGAGGCTGGGGTGTGAGGGGTGGGCATGGACCATGAAGGAAGGGTGGCTGCTGGGGAACACAAGCCAGAGGGTATATAGGGGGAGAGTTCTAGCCTGCCAGGTAACTAACTGAAGCATTGTGTTGGGGTGGGAGTCTGAGCTGTGGGAGTGGTGTGGTCTTATGTGTCAACAAAGAGCAATAGTTAATAGGGACGCCTTTAAGGCTTCCTGGTTCCAAAAGGTGGTTCTCTACAAAGTGTTTGATGGAGTGGCAGCAGTCCCAGAAAAAAAAAAAAATGCTGAAATGAAGTATTTACCCTCATTTGAGGCAGCCAGGAAAGTAGCTTTTTGTCCCTGAAGACTAGGAAATTGCTTGTTTTCAAACCATTTTAATGGGATGGGCGAGGTGTTGGGCAGGGGAAATGGTGAGAGAGAATGTGACTCCTCGTGAGACTCAGGGTGGGGAGCCATCTGTCTGGCAAGGACTAAAATGCATGTTTTTTAGGAAAGCGAGGCTGTTGTATTAATTGGAAAGGAATACACACACATACATTCACTTTTTGAGTAAGATAGGAGCTTTGTTGTACAGTTAGTACTATCTGTTGGAATTAGTATTTTGAGAGAAGAGCATAGAGATTTATACATAAACTGTTAGTTATAAGGAATCTGGGAATAACCTGCTCCATTTACTCCATTGTTCTGACTGCTAGAATATTGTTAATAGAAATATCACCGTAATTTCCCAAAACTCAGAGAACAGGGAACTTTTATGCACAGATCAATCATTAAAGACAGACAGGTAATATTAAAACTGTGCCAAACAGATGCAAAACCGAACAAAAATCCTCAATAGAATTTGATTCCATCTGTTTTGGACTTCACTCACTGCATAGTTGTGAGGAAAGGGTTTTGGTTCTTTGAGGTTTCTGGCTTCAAGTCTAGATAAATGAGTATAAAATATGTATGTGGCCTTTTTCTTTTTTTTTTTAAACAGCTAGGAAAGATGAGGAGTAGGATGGGGGAGTTCACAGATACCAGATATATTTTAGGGGTAGAGGAAACACCTAGGATTAGCAGTGGCCTTATTCTGGGGAGTCCTCCCTTTCCTCCTACCACCACCACCATCCTTGTTAAATCGGAGGGTTGCAGGGGTTCCTAGCAAAACTGGGCGGCACGTTTGCAGAGAGGAGTGGTGACTTGGTGTCCTTCTCCCCGCAGACTCAGACCTATGCCTCAAGTTCGCCATGCTGTGCACTCTTAACGATAAGTGTGACCGGCTGCGCAAGGCCTATGGGGAAGCGTGCTCGGGGTCCCGCTGCCAGCGCGACACCTGCCTCCGTCAGCTCCGCGCCTTCTTCGAGAAGGCGTCGGAGGCCCACGCTCAGGGCCTGCTGCTGTGCCCCTGCGCGCCGACCGACCAGGGCTGCGGGCAACGCCGGCGCAACACCATTGCTCCCAGCTGCGCGCTGCCGTCTGGGGCCCCCAACTGCCTGGAGCTGCAGAGCCTCTGTGTTGCTGACCCGTTGTGCAGGTGCTGGCGCTGCGGGAGGGCTGGGTGTGGGCGAGGGCGCAGTGCACACCACTCCTTCAGGGCGCCTTCCTGTGTGGGGCTGGGCTTGCCCCCCCAGGAGCCATGGACTGACTTAACCCCAGAGTATTTTCTGAAACCCTGTGATCAAAATAAATTTTTTTTGTGTAAAAACTTCAGAAAGTATAAAAATGTATAAAATAGTACTCCGAATTCATCACCTGAAGATAATCTACATACTTTGAGGAGTATTTCCTTCCAGTCTTTTTTGTATACACATAAACAAAACTGGATATTCTAGAAATATATTCTAGAAATAGTCTTGCTTTTTTTCACTTATGTGCATATCTCCTGAGCATTTTTCCGTGGAGGCAGTATGCAACAGGGTGAAGACAGGCTCTGAAGTCAGACAGATGTGAATTTAAATCCTAGGACTGTGTGATTTTGAGCCTGTCACTTTAACCTAAAATTCCATCACTTAACCTAACATTCCTCTTAGTCCTCTGTAAAAAGTGGGATAAAAATACAGACCTCATGGGATTCTGGTGAGCGTTAAATTACATAATTTATGCAGAGTGCTTAGCTTACTGGTGCAGAGTAAGTGTTCAATAAATGGTGGTGCTTATTTTGTCTTTTATACTATCCTTTGACAGCTTGATTTTTAAATGCCTATGTTGCATTCCATTTTATGGATGCCCCATACTTTATTTAATCCTTCCTCTATTGTTGGATGTTTAGGTTGCTTTTCTTATTGCTATAAATAATGCAGTAAGTATCACTCTAGCTCTTTAATCTTTGTGCACAAATCTAATTATTACTTAGGACGTGTGGCCACAACTGCCATTACCAAATCAAAGTATATGACCTTTGGTAAGGTATTTGATGGGTATTGTCCAGAAAATTTGAAATTCTGACCTGACTTTCCTTTGCCTTCTCAGGACAAAACATTCACCAAATTGAAGTTATCATCCACTCAAGTAGAATTCGTTGACAGTGAGAGTCACACCAACCTTGTTTTGCAGCCTGGTTCTAACCCTTGTTTCTCTGTAACCTTGGGCAAGGTTGTTTAACCTCTCTACGCTCTACTTCCTTCTTCTGTAAAATACTACATAAAAGCTCTCAATCACCATAATACCAACACTTACTGAGTACTTACTATGGGCTAGGTACTGTTTTAGGTACTTAGCATATATTAACTCATGTAAACCTTATGAGAACCATGTGAGATAGATGGTGCTGGGGTTTTTTGTTTTTCTTATTTATTTATTTATTTTTTAATCATCTGCACTTTACAGAGAAGAAACCACAGCAGAGAATGTTTAAACAGCTTGTTGAGGCTCATCCAGGTAATAAGTCAGGTTACTGAATAAGGTCTGGAGTGAGGAAGTCTGGCCTGGAATCTGGCCTAACTGCTCTGCTAGACTGCCTATTGTGGTGCTGATAGCTAATACCATTTTGTAACAAGTGCTGGGCTAGATGACTAAGTTACTTAGGTGGAATTTGCATTTGGCTGGGGGAGACAGAGAAATGAACCACCTATTCAACAAAAGGCAAACCGTAAGGAAAATTGCAGAAATGCACACAGAAAAACATACTTGTAATTGCATCACCTGAAGATAACCAGCCTTACCTATTGTAGGATCAGTGTGAATAATATCATCTCACATTTAATGAACATTTCATATGTACCAACCACTATGCTAAATGCTGTACATGCAGTCTCTCATCTAACCCTCACAAGAACCCATGAAAAAGCACTGTCTTCATTTCTATTCTTAGTTGAGAAAACTGAGGTTTAAAAAGCTGCCTGAAATCTCATACCTAGGGATTATGGAGTCCAAATTCAGAGCGGCATGCTTTGGGGCTGGGGTGATCATGCCCTTAATTGTGACAGGAACAGGCTTCGCTGAGGGGGAAGCCCTGGACCAGGCCCTGAAAGCAGAGGAGGATTTGGCATGAAGATGAGTCTGTCAACTAAAGGGGAGCAAGGGTGAAGGCTGCAGGTCAGACCCTCAATGGGGACTCTTGAAATTTCCCTTCTTCCAGATCTCGCCTGGTGGATTTTCAGACCCACTGTCATCCTCTGGACATCCTAGGGACCTGTGCAACAGAGCAGTCCAGATGTCTGCGAGCATACATGGGGCTGATTGGTGAGGCTGGGGGCCATCTGAAGGGAGTCCACAGGGTGGCTAGTCCTGGAGGTGAGAATGCTCTGGAGACTGAACCCAAATGGAATGGTCCTGAGACAGGCGGCAGAGAGTGGGGGTTGAAATTTGGGTGGCCTAGGTCCTGACAATCCTTTCTTCACCCCACAGGGACTGCCATGACTCCCAACTTTGTCAGCAATGTCAACATCAGTGTTGCCTTAAGCTGTACCTGCCGAGGCAGTGGCAACCTGCAGGAGGAGTGTGAGCAGCTGGAAGAGTCCTTTTCCCACAACTCCTGCCTCAGTGAGTGTGTTGCACCTGCTGCCAGCCCTGGTTGGATCAGCTGGACCCAAGGAGAGGAAAAGGGTTAGCTCTGTGGTCCACACTGGTTCCATCAATCTCCTGCAGACAGAGTAGCCCCCTCCTTAGCATTGGTTTACTTCCCCTTGAATCTGGGCCTTTCTCCCTTCTCCTACTCCCCAGGTGACCCCCCAAGCTTTCTGTTCAACCTGTCTTGGCCCCGAGGGACACTCTTTAGCTTAAGGAATAAGGAAATGGAATGAGACAGTATCCCAAATATCCCATTTTTATCCATCCTGGCCATATGCCAGGGTCCCTGAGACATTCCCTTTTCTTTCATGGGAGCCTGGGAGATCTCCAGCATATGCCCACTTCCATTTACCTTCTCTCCTCTCCTCAGTGGAGGCCATTGCAGCTAAGATGCGTTTTCATAGCCAACTCTTCTCCCAGGACTGGGAAGACTCTACCTTTTCCGTGATGGAACGCAAGGTAGGGTCTCCTTTATTACGCACCTCTTACCTTTACTGGTCTACCTGGGGGAAACCCATACAAGGGGACAAGAGGGGGTGACCTCATTGTGGTCATGAATAGTACACACCTCTAATGGACATGTCAGGGGTGGGGGACAGGCTTTGACTGATGCCAAGGGGGTGGAGCTGACTCCATTCCATTTCTTCTACAGAACAAAAATCCTGCTCTGACGCCACAGCCCTGGGTGCCCTCTCTTTTCTTGTGTACACTTACCTTGATTCTTCTCCTGAGCCTCTGGTAGCTGGACTTCCTCTGGGCCCCTCTCCCCTCTACCAAACCAGCCTGACCTTCAGCCTGCAAGGGGTAAGGAAAGAGCAGCATCAGGAAAGAGGTGCAATAAACAACATGGCAACCCTCACTCGATCCATACTGCATACCCAGCTGACTCCAGATGGGACCATAGTAGAAACTGACTAGCTGAGTTCTCATTCCCTCCATAGTCCTTCCTTAGGATTTGGTGACCATGATTTAGCCATATCTTCTGGTGGAGACCATTTCTACCAAGCTGTCTCCTAATCCCTTCCTCTTGCCCACCAGAATCACCCAGACTCTAACAAATCAGTCATTCTCTATTGCATTCTCCAGGTAGGCAGGGCTGGATGTTCTGAGGCAGCATACATAGAACGACATTCCCCATTGTGAGGAAGGCTGGTGCAAGACTCCTACCCCCTTGTCTCCTCCTCTGAACAGGGGATAGGAATCTGGTCCCTACCCTACCTGGGGATCCTTCAAAGCATTTGAGCATCAAGAGCTGGAGCATTTGGGCTTTGTTTTCTTCCTGCTACTGTCCTGAAGTACCCCCAGCCCCTTGGATCATGATTAAACATTTGACTTAAAACTTGGCTCTTTTCCTATTTTCTCTCATTGTGAATTTATATAGAATGAGGAATGTTACAGACACAAGAGTAGAGGCCAGGATCAGGACACATTTACCCTGCCACCAATTCCTGGGTGACTTCGGGCAATTCTTTCAACTTCTCTGTGTACTTAACATGGAGTTGGAAGAAAAAATAGCTTCTGTGAGGCTTTGGACATGGTATCTGTCCCAGATCCAGCCATTTCTGGGATACTGCCTGGGATCTGCCACAGGAGCTGAGAGGGGAGCATCCCTAGTCAACCAAAGCATTTATTGATCACCTGCTTGTGTTATTGGCTTGCTCCAGACCATGATGGGAAGCAGGGGCAGAGGATAGGAGAGACTGGTACTCGATTCCATTTACAATCCTGTTGGGATAAGGAAACAAAGTAGTTGGGAAAATATATTTATAGAGCTGTGGACATTTGTCTATTAATTCATTCACTCAGTCTTTCCATAAGCATCTGATGAGTGCTGGCTCAGCAAGGCACTGTGGTGGATGCAGGAGATTCTGGGGAAATAATTCAGATACTGTTTTCAAGTCTTTCACACACCAGAGCAGGGGAATCTACATGACAAGGAGAACAAGGAAGTGTGATAAGTGCTGTACAGTAATTATAATAATAACTATCATTTATTGAACCCCTACTGCATGCAAGTACATGCATTAATTAATTTGATCTTCCAACATTTGACTTTGTTAGTTACTAGCTGTGTGACCTTGGGCTCAACCTTTCTAGACCTCATTATCCACATCTGTAATGTGAAAAAGCATAGAGCCCACTTCATAAGGAATGAGATAGTCCATGTAAAAGCACTGGAACTGACACAATGTAAGAACTCAGAAAAGTTAGCAAATACAGTATGTGGGGTTTTTGTAGAAAATTTGGACGATACAGACAATTATAAAGAAGAAAGTAAAATACTCTTTAAAATCCCACTTGTGGGGCGCCTGGGTGGCTTAGTCAGTTGAACGTCCGACTTTCGCTCAGGTCATGATCTCGCGGTTCGTGGGTTCGAGCCCCGCGTCGGGCTCTGCTGACAGCGAGCTCAGAGCCTGGAACCTGTCTTCAGATTCTGTATCTCCCTCTGACCCTCCCCTGCTCACGCTGTCTCTCTCTCTCTCAAAATAAAATAAATAAATAAATAAATAAAAAAGAAATCACCAAACATTACTTGCCCCATCTTCTATTTATTAAATCAGTCACAAAAGCCTGACAGGTTTCAAGGGGAAAATGAAACATACTTCATCAAAAAAAAAAAAAAAAAAAAAAAAAAGAACATACTTCATCTCAATGGTAAAGTGACAAGTTTAAGGAAAAGTCTATCAGACTAGAAATACAGTTGTGGCCATTTTGGGAAAAGATAATGTCCTTCATGACTGGCTTTTACTAATCATGATTCATCCTAAAGAACTAGACATTTTTGGGGCGCCTGGGTGGCTTAGTTGGTTAAGCGTCCGACTTTCGCTTAGGTCATGATCTCACGGTTCGCGGGTTCGAGCCTGGTGTGGGGCTCTGTGCTGACTGCCAGCTCAGAGCCTGGAGCCTGTTTCAGTCTGTGACTCCCTCTCTCTCTGACCCTCCCCTGCTCATGCTGTCTCTCTCTCTCTCCTAGAAATAAATAAAACATTTAAAAAATTAAAAAAAAAAAATCCCACTTGCGAACTGCCAAATGCTCTCTGCCTATCTTTGCACATGAGAATCTGTGGGTATGTATAATTTTATGTAAGTGGGATCAGACACTGCATGTCACTGTGTAAGTCACAGATATCCTTCAGCATGTATGAGTAGAGCTTGAACTACATGATCCTTCTTATCAGGTGCAGAGCATGGACTTGTAGGAATGCATATTCCTACATATATAGTTTACTTAACCGGTTATTTATCAGTGAATATTTGGTTGTCTTCCCATTTTTCTCTCAACCAAGTTTTAAGGTAGTGAGCAGGTGACTGGGATGTGTAGAGTTGCTGCCAGAATGGTGGGTAGAATAGGGAAGCCTCTCCTTACACATTTTTGTATCCCTATAGCCCACACTGCCCCCAGAAAATGCTCGGTCAATATTCCTCCCTGCAAACTTCAGTGGGGGCAGTTGGAGGACCTTCCCCTTCCTCCCCTCCCAGGAAGATCTCTGAGCTGGCAAAGCCTCTCCATTTGCTTTGACTCCATTAGCCTGGGGCTGGGGGTGTGAATGGTACAGTCATTCCTTGCTAAGTGCTTGAATTAGACTAATAGGTCATCTGTGCTTTTCTCTGAAGAAGGTCCAAATTTCTGGTAAACAACCAGGCCACTCCCCGAGCCAAGGGCCCAGAGCCAAGACCTGGGGTGGGGGCACAGTGGCTGGACTGAAGCTTTTAATGGTATCCTGGCTGACTGGAATGGCGAATGCCATTAGACTAGCTCCTGGGTAACAAGGAGGGAAGGGCCACTGACAGCAGTAGTAAATGGAGAGTGCTGAATTACAGGCCTCTGCATGGTTGGGGTAGAGCAAACTGTCTTTTAAACAAGGACTTCCATATTCACCCACTCATTCATTCAGTCATTCACCCATTCATTCAACAAACGTAAAAAAAAATTCTTTTTAATGTTTTATTTATTTCTGAGAGAGAGAGACAACGTGAGCAGGGGAGGGTCAGAGAGAGAGGGAGACACAGAATCCAAAACAGGCTCCAGGCTCTGAGCTGGCTGTCAGCACAGAGCCCAACACGGGGCTTGAACCCACGAACCGTGAGATCATGACCTGAGCTGAAGTCGGACACCCAACCAACTGAGCCACCCAGGTGCCCCTCATTCAACAAACCTTTAACAAGGACTTGGCTCTGTGCCAGGTTGTATTTTTCAAGATCGTTCCCTGAACATTTTTGAGCTGCCATTTTGGTGAAGGGGCAGCTCAAGACTCTAGCAGTCAGACCTCAAGTTTGGGCAGTTGAGACTTTTCATTTATTCTGACTTCTTTGACCTAGGGAAATATTCTTTACCCATCTGAGGCACTATTTCCTCCTCTCCAGTGGAAATACCAATAGGAATACTTAACTTAAAGGGTTGCAGTTTTTATTTTGCTTTGTTTATTTTTAAAATTTTTTAGGTTTATTTATTTACTTTGAAAAAGAGAGAGAGTGGGGGAGGGGCAGAGAGACAAAGACTCTTCAAGCAGGCCTCACGCTGCAAGCAGCACAGAGGCCAATATGGATCTCGGACCCACAAACCAGAAAGTCATGACCTGAGCTGAGTAAGAGTCAGGTGCTAAACCAACTGAGCCACCCAATGCCCCTGTTTTGCCTTTTTTTTTTTTTTTTAATATAACATCATCAATTTAACTTCAGCCAGAAAACTAATTGGCAATATCAACTAATGTTTATATCAATTTTAATGATTTTTGTTGAAAAGTTTTTGGCTTCCTATTTCTTTTTTTTTTTAATGTTTATTTATTTATTTTGAGAGAGAGAGAGAGACAGAAACAGAGCACAAGCAGAGAGAGAGAGGGAGACACAGAGGCTGAAGCAGGCTCCAGGCTCCGAGCTGTCAGCACAGAGCCCGACGCGGGGCTTGAACCCACGAACCAGAAGATCATGACCTGAGCTGAAGTTGGACGCTTAACCGACTGAGCCACCCAGGTGCCCCATTGGCTTCCTGTTTCCAAGCTTATAAACATGAGGAATTTATGCTTGTTTTGTTCTCCATGTATATTTAAGTTAGATAATAGTAAAAATATTTAAAACCTATTAAAAAATAACAGTTCTTTTGAGGACTGGAAGTAATACTCAGCACAGCATTGGATACAGGATGAATACTCAATAAATGGCAGCTGTTACTACCATTACCTCTGGGAGGGGATCTGTGGGTACCAGGTGTTCTACTTTCTGCCCAGGAGCAGTGGTGAGTGATGGTGCTGGCTTTTCTTCCAACTGTGGGCTGAATTCTGGGTGGGGCTGCCCCTGGGAGATACTTTTCTTTCTTTCTCTTTTTTTTAATAGTTTATTGTCAAGTTGGTTTCCATATAACACCCAGTGCTCATCCCCACAAGTGCCCTCCTCCATGCCCATCACTCCCCTTCCCCTCATCCCCCTCAGCCCTCAGTTTGTTCTCAGCATTCAAGAGTCTCTCATGGTTTGCCTCCCTCCCTCTCCCCAACTATTTTTCCCCTTCTTCTCACCCATAGTCCTCCATTAAGTTCCTTCTAATCCTCCTGTATCTGCTGGGAGATACTTTTCAAGCTCTGAACTCCAAGATAGGAATCAGAACTCTGGGTCTATATCTCAGGTCTGAGGGACCTTGGTCAAGGCATAGAGTCAAAGAAAGTCAATGTCTTAGTCAAGGATCTTTTGGCTGAATGTAACAGAAATATTGGAATTACTTAGTTAAAGGGGAATGTCCTGCAACCCAATCCCAGGAAATTCATCCAGGCCTTGGGGTGCTGGGACTGGCGAGTCAGGAACCAGTCTTGATTGCCCTCTCTTGAAGGCCTACACATCCTGAACCATCTACTTCACTCTCTTTGCATACCTACTTCAACTTCACCTAAGTGATCTCCTGTCACAGTTCAAAAATTCACAGAAAATCTGACTGTCTATCCATAGATTCTAGACTGGCTTTTCTGGGTTGAGGGACAATGCCAGGCCTACCATCTGGGTAAAAGAAGCCTATATCCACATACTATTAAAGTAATTCAGGGTCCCAGGTCTATTAGTGAGGGATACAGAGTGCCTCAGCAGGACCCCCAAAGGCATAGACTCCTGTCAGGGAATTGCAGTGGATCTTAATTACCTGAGGTCAGGGCTTCTTTTGTGGCTTCCTTCCTGGCCTTGGAGTGTCTTCTGAGCTTCCTTCTTGGATTCCCTGAAGGGATGGGAATGTAGGAACACACGCCAGGTGCTGAGGCTCTTTGGGTCTGAGAAGTACCCTTGGAGCTAGATCTGAGTAGAGCTTCTTTTTTATTTTT